GAAGGCCCTGGCCACCGTGGGTTCTGGCTTATCCTTGCAGACCACCGTGCAGGAAGCTGCGACCCTTGGTGCCTTTTCGGGCGTGGGGCGGGTTTAGGGCATTTTCTTTTGTTTTTGATTTTCCGCCATAATATCCCTAAATGAGCTACAGTCTAACCTCCTCAAGGGGGGGATATGTAGGGGGGAGTACTATACGGGGTACTAAGTTAATTAATGTGGGATACTGAGTTTAGATAAAAGCCCATATAATTCAATATCCCCATATCCCTAGAGTTCTCATATAGTTCAGAGAGAGAGAGCCTGTGGTTTGGGATTGCCTGGGATGCAGGAAGTGCAGTTGGGGTGGATTTCGGCACATTGCCTTCTCTGTCTGTAGGTGTTCAGAATCATTGCCGGAGGATAATCAACTGACTCTTTGGGCTCTAGGATGTTTTGGCTGGGCAGAGGGCATGCGTTTTTATGTTGCGTTGATAGAGATGTGCCCCTATACGACCCTATATGGGTGGTTGCCAAAATTATGTTCCCTTTTTGGGTACCCTAAATATTAGGTGCCGTATTATAATAGGGATCCAAAAAGGAACCATAATTTTGACAACCACCCATATAACCCGTTGATACTCGTTTAGCTTTATTTACAACTACCCAGACGCATGGGAGGATCTAGAAATTAGATCTCCTATTTAGACCCATTATAACCCCTATATAATCCTGATATGATTTCCCATCTTATGGTTCCAGGGGATCTGATTTTTAGATCCCTTTGGGGGTCTGGGTAGGTGGTCGTTCGGATACATGCAGCCTTCTACGGCCCTGGCCGGTGACGAAGGGTCCAAAGGTCCCAAAGGCCGACGGTGAACCCGTGTGAGCTATAGACTAAACTCCTTGAAGGGGGTTATATAGGGGATTATAGGGTTTATAATGGGGTTATATAGGGATAATGGGAAATAGAATGGAAACTACTATAGTATATTGGGGTTATATAGGGGATTATATAGGGAAGTATTATAGGGGTTACTGAGGGGATACTGGGAGTTTGGACGATATAGCTCTTGTGATGACGAAGACGCTGTGTGATGTCCAAGGCTTGTTCTCATCAACCAGTACAGCATCACAGGCTTTCAGGGTGACAAGGCAGGAAGGGTGGGGACGCGAGAGTCCGCTGAAATTGTGGCCTGTTGCTGCCTATCCTGCCCCAAGCCCAGGAGTCCCTCCATGGCTTCAGGGTTTGGGTTTTAGGGTTTGGGGTGTATCCTTGCGTAGTGATGATGCTTGCAAGAGGAACACCAAAGCTGGAGACATCTTGAATATTTTGATGTGTGACATCGCCACGAGCGCCACGTGACCGCATGACGCGCTGACCGAACAATTTATTCATGCCCTTTGGAGGTTCTGTCTTGAATCTCCCAACCACGACACTGGCTGCAGCAACAGCAGGTGTAGCAGCAGCTCTAGTCCTGCGGGGGGTCGCAGCAGAAAGCCCCGCCGTAAACCTTAAGCCCTAGAAACTAACAGGAGCCTAACTCTCCTCGAATAGACAAAATGTGCGAGATATATGCGGATTATATAAGGCTATGTAATATCCATTTGGGCTCAACAATGGAGAGCCAGATGGAAACTGAAATGGAAACAGAGATTAGGCTAGGGTTTCCCAAAAGTAGGGGCCCCTTCCTAGGGTCCCTACACTGGTACAAGAAGGGTGCAGGCATGTTGAGGTCTATAGTGGTGTCCCCCTATATGGAAGCTGCCATAAGGGAATGTAAGCAACCCATAGTGTTTCTCACGGTCTCCCCACATGCACAACCCCTAAGGCCCCGAGATGCACCATCTTCCGCCTCAATCAACACAACTCGGCCTGAAAAACAGATGAGTAGCATTTTATTTGGGGATACTATGGTATCTAATTAATGTAGAGTAAGATTATATCCTCCTTTTGGGGTATAGTACTTTATATAAGGAATATAATCTTACTGGGTTTTAACCACCAAAAAAGCGCTACTCAGATGCGAGGAGAGTTGCCATGCCAAGAACCAATAGAAGGGTACCGGCGACGAGGCAAGTGTAAATCAGCAGAACAAAGTCTTAAGCATTGAGAAGATAGCGTTAAACGCTACTATGCATACGACCCTTGTAGTCATCATGTTGTGTGGGTTCTGCCTTCTTTTTCGGGAGGGTGATCCCTACAGGCTTAGATATGTTCCACTTAGTTCGAATGGAGCCTAAGTTCCCTCCTACACTCATGAGCCTAAATACATCTAAATACTATAGTAGTTTCCATTCGAATTTCCATTTTCTCCTCCACTTGATTCTCCATTATTTCTGGAATCCCCCTACATAATCCCTGTATGCCCTTTATAATCCCTATATCCATATATAAGCCCGAAAACTCTAAGCCCTTACCTTAGATGTAAGCCATGGTGCAGGCGCGCCACAAGCTATTCGGCTCCGCATGCTTCTGGGTTGCTTTTAATGAACTAAATTTGAGTTACTGTATTGGGGAAACCCTGCTATTCACAATAGAAACCCTATTATTCACTATATATACGCATGATGGTAACTTCAGCCCCACACCTTAATGACCGATTATGATAACCTAAGCCCTAAACCCTGTATACCCAAAATATTATGGAAACTTAAGCCCTAAACCCTATGTATCCTATGTGCCCACTGTGGTATCTGAATTGAAGTTCCTGAACAGCAACCCAGGCTTGCTCATTGCAGCAGCACGTCAAGGTTCAGGCTCGCTCTCCTCCTGAGGTAATATAGGGTAATATGGGGTAATATAGGGATAATGGAAAAGAAAAGGGAAACTACTATTTATGGTTTAGGGTTTGGGGGTTGAGGGTTCAAGGGTTTAGGGCTTAGGGAAGTTTAGGGCTTAGGGAAGTTAAGGGTTTAAGGGTTTTGGGTTCATGGAAGTTTCGGGTTGGGGGGGTTTAGAGTCTAAGGGTTTAGGGTGTATGGGTTTAGGATTTAAGGGTGTGGGGGTTGAGGAGTTTAAGGGTTTAGGATTTAGGGTTGGTCTTGTTTAGAGATGGGATGATATAGGGATGAAGAGGATCCCACATGGTGGAAGATCCAGTCAAAAAGAAATTCGAAATTGAAACGGAAACTGATAGCGGTAGAGGGGTTTATGAGGATTAGGGTTTCCCAAAATTAGCGGTCGCTTATCGGGTGTCGCTTCAATAACCGATACAGGTGATAGTAGCGTTATAGTATCTTGGGGTCTGTATTGGGTCCTCCTTGCTTTCTTTATGGAAACTACCAGATCTTCAGAGGTTTTCAGACCTGCTTCAAACGCGACTTCCTTCTCTTTTTGGAGCTTCTCTTATGTCAGAACAACTGCAATTGTAACCATACTGGCATGGAGCTTTTTCCCCTCTCATTTACTCCGAAATGGGAATCCTCATTATGGGGACCCAAGACCCGACCCCTAAGTGCTGGAACCCTTGACTATACATTCCCTTGTATCCCCTCTACGCTCCGATGCTAGAACACTTTTTGCACGGGAAACTCAATCTTGAAAAGCCTTAAACTTGCGTAGGCTCGCGAAGGCATTTGTAGGTGGTTTTATCCGCGTAGTCTGCGTAGTTGGGCTGTTCTAGGCAAAGAGACAGAAAAGTTGCTGCATAGAATAGTGCGCAGGCCAGATCAGCCGCTTAGTCCACGTAGTTGTTTGAATAGTATTTGTGAGCCAGCCTAGTCCGCGTACCCTGCTACCGCACCTTGTTAGCATTAGAAACGCCATTCAGAAAATCCGATGCTCACATGAGATTACCAAGTGCCAGGGGTTACGCTCGGTGAAGTTGCGCGGCATGCCAACTTACAGGCGGGTCCAGTAAGGGCAGGACACCAGATATGGGTTCCAAAAAGAGGTTTCCTTGGGTTATTGGAGCATTTTTGGGCTATAGGGGTATACATTGGGTCATTTCCCCACCCAGTAACTGTCCTTAAAGGGGGCCTTATTAAGGGGCTATTATAATTCCTATTACCCCTTGTGGTAACAGTTATTGTAAGGGGGAATAACCCAAGGTATACAGGCTATGTAAAAGCCTTATAGGGCCCATTACGTACCCCACAGAACCCC